AGAACTATACTAGTAACCTCAGAAGTCAGTAACATACAAGCGCTCACATTGAAATGCTTCAGTTGTCCAGAAATCCCACAGTAAATTCTGATCTATTCTGATAGACATTCCTATTACGGTTCGCTCATTTTGGCAGTAACTCTGAAAGTTTCAGCCAAATTTCAAAATAAAACGATAAAATTTATTCTACCCTAGCAAATGGATAATAACTAAAAATTCAGATTGATACGTTACACAAGAATGAAATGGTTTAATATTAACAGTTAAACTTTGGAATTCGCTTCAATAATGTCTTCAACCAGAAATGATAGTCTTTGTCTTCAAGGGGGATTTTAAAATTGTAAATAGTCACTCCATACGACTGTCGAATTCCAGTCTAGTAAAACTTGCATTAATAAATGAAATAGTGATTATTTCATTTTTAGTAAAATAGAGATAGCTGGCTCATTACAATGCTTCAATGTCATACTCTCGTTTTCTGACGAAGTCACATATACACACTGCTGATGAGTCACATGTTAGGACGGAACACACGTTTATTCCCCTCAGATTTGGGGTGACATCTGGTTTAGCGTTGATAACCGATGTATACCGTTTACAAATTTTGAATTAGTTTATCTAGAGCAGATCAGATGTAGCTACTCTATGCAACAACATTCGGCTTCTTTGAAGTGTATTGTATAAAAAATAGTACCTTTTCTTTTTAAGATTTCCATGTAGACTGAAAGAAACTGAATATAACTGTCAGCACGTTCAATGTTCTTCGCACAATGAACAAGATAAAAAACGATGGAAAATATTTTCTGTCAGTCAGTGGAAATCATATTAACAGGTAAACGATTTGGGATGATGTGAAATATCACTTTTGATACAAATGACTTCACATCAAACCAACAACTACAACAACACCAACATGTCAAGAATTATTCTTTGCCAACCATAAATCAATCAACATCATACATCATGAACAATTATGAAAAAATATTCATTTATTTTAAAAATATTAGATTTATTAGCTTTTTGTTTTGTTTAAACAAACAAACTGAATGTTATCGAAGACAGACGAAATAATTATCATCTCTAGTTAAAAATTTTAACGTCAAAAATATTTCTTCAGTTTAAAAATTATAGCTTATTATATTTCATAACTGGAAAAATTTTAAGAAACTTTTTGAATAAATTTAATAAATCTACCTTATTATTACTACTGGAGACTATAATGATAATGAAATATTGAATTAATGGTACTATTTTAAATAATGATGATGATAATAATAAATCTCTTAGATGTAATACTATTTAACTTATATAAAATTTTCAGTACATTCATTATTCTATTTCTTTTCAGTAAATTAGGAACAGAAAAATGAATTGTACTCTTTTTTTCTCTATAAACAAGCTAGGATATGGACAAATTTTAGAAAATTCCAGCGAAGAAAGTGTTTTACAGAATAATTGAAAATAACTGAAAACAAAACTAATTGGCGGAACAAAAAACCATGAGGTCAACAAGCTTTGATATGTTAATGAAAATGTACCCTAATACAACAATCTTTCATACATATCTGTAAGGTTGCATAGATTTTATTTATTCTGTTGACTACTTGAAACAAACTTCATTTTTATTTATTTATTTATTCTAACCTCACTCTTCATGATTTTCCTTCTTTAATGGTGAAAGCAAAAAATTACCCGCTCCCTTTTACAGCAGTTTTATTTTACTGAATTATGCCTAAGAAACTATTAAAGTGAATTAACATGAATTCATTCGTTCGTTATTGTTATTATTGGGTTAAATAGGACTAGGTTGAAGAATATATATATATAAGATAACCTTAAAATAAATCAAAGCAAGTTGTTATGAATCGACTGACTTACAATGCATGTAAAAGTATTTACGTTACGTCGTATGACAGTGTGTACGTTTGTATGTGTCTATATAAAACGCAAGAAAAAGAAGTAAGGAAAGAAAGGAAATTGAATAAGAATGTTAGTTGTCCAGGTCTACTTGAATTCGTTTGCGTGAATTATAATGAAGTGGTATTATTTTGTTTCCCTGTATTCGTCTACTTCTTCTTCTTCTACTACTACTACTACTACTACTACTACTTACAGTAAGTTTTTTTAATCAGAGAAGAAAAAACCATTAGGAAATATCAAGAGGGAAACAATTAAATAACCAATATCAGGTAAATACTTCATTTAATTCAAGAAACAACCGAATACATTTATTTGTATACATGCATGTGCTCACATATGATCGTAAGGATATAAGTGAACTAAAAAAGGAATGAAAGAAAAGTAACAAATGATTACTTCGAATCTAGAAATGAAGAAAAAAGAAATTCCAACTAATTTTCTTATTTTGGTTGTTAAGTTTGTTTGAATAGTTCTGCTTCACATTTTTACTATACATGGCCACTATCTAACCAAATCAAGTGGATATAGAATATTGCATGAATAGTAGTAGTAGACGAAGTAAGCAGTATAATTTTTTATGCTGAAATGCTTTTTGTGCAAGTCAAAATGTAGGTGATTAAATGAAGAATACTTGATAAACGATTTAAATTGAAAGAAAATACTAATAAAGCGTACCAGTGAAGAATAACTAGTGACAGAATCTCGAAATGAAACATTAACATTCGAACTGAAATGTTTGTAAAAATTAATCATGTAGAATACAATAGCTTTTGGGCTAGTAAATAAGTCCAAGAGAATTTCTTTCTATGCTCGTTCTCTTCTTCTACTCTTAAAGCATGCATCAATTGGTAGATAGTTGAAAAAATATATATATTTTTAATACTCTCATGTTTATGTGGCTTAAATAACACTAGAAGCTACCAAAAAGAATTAAGAATACTTGTCAGACCGAAGCATACTTGAGTTAAGGATGATAAATAATAGTAGTATCTCAGAAGCATAATAATTTATACACAATGTTCAGTTTGTGAGAATTTTGGAATTAGTCATCAATTAAATGAAAAAGCCACTAATTTATGCCCATTTTATAGAATCCTACATAAATGCATTCATTTGTGCATGTATATAATAAAATTTGTTAAACAAAATGAAATTTCCCTAATGAGACAACACATTTTTGTTTTGTTTTGCATTCTAGGTCATAGAAAAAATAAATAAAGGGTAAATATGATTAGGTAACCTTAAAAATTAAATAATCATCTAAGTGGTAATGATAAGAATAAGAATAAGAATAAGTGGGATAATTGTTTTCTTTTCTTTTTCTGAGAATAATACATCATCAAACGAACAAAAATATGCAAAGAAAATCAGTGAGGAACAATTGAAGAGAGAAAATAAAAAAAAATTCGTATTTATCTTGTACGAAAAATAAGTTTATTGGTTGAAAAGAAATAAATGACACAGGTATTCATCAGATATAACACTGTAAAGATGTTTCTTCAAGCAATAAATGAATTTGTTAATAATAATAATAATAGGTTCTTCACAATGTTGCCACATTTTCGTTTGATGCATTTCTTTATGCATTTTCGCACTGATTTTTTGAAATCTTATGAACAATCTAAGACTGAAATAATGTTGTTCACGATTTAAAGTTTGTTGATTAGTAATTTGATATTAAACGACGTTGCATATATATATATATATATATATATATATATATATATATATATATTTCACTGTTTCAAAAGAACCATAGTTCTTAAACATATTCATGAAAGTACTGGTATTTGTACTAGTATAAGGAGGTACAGACTTCTTAATTTGAGTCTCCTAAATTATACGAATCAGTGATTGGAAACAAAAACTAGCATAGTTTGAACCGACCACAGTAACACAGATTCATTGATTATCTTATAACTTTAGAGCATTTTCGTATCCTTTGTTTATCCTTTTTCTTCCAAACTATATTATTTTTAGTGATTTTGAGTGAAGTTTTTTTTAGCCATACTCTTGTCAAGTGTGACACTATAAACAAATGTACCATTTATCTTAGACCTCTTGTGAATATTTCTGATAATAGAGATTACATCGTACAAGAAATGACCTTCTTGATAGTAGAACTGAAATCCTTGGTTATTAAACATTTTATTATGATTGGTGTTGACAGCTATGTCTCAACTACTGAAATTAAATAACTATGGTACCTTTAGACTTCCTTTACAAACGTTAAAAAGTATCCTGTCAGAATATATTTAATTATAACATCATCTTTATACAACAAGACAGTAAAGTAAAACATGAAATTTTGGCTTAAGTATTAAACAGTTAATTTTGAGGTCCATGATCTTACTGTACTTCTCATTTCCGTAAAATAAGTAAATACTGCTAAAAACTTTATACAGTGATACTTAAACAGCTAATGAGCTTTATCAACAGGGAAAAAGCTCACAGTCTAAAAATAAGCTATAAGACTAAAACATATTTATGGTTGGAAACTTGGTTTTCTTCACAAATTTCTAGATATGATAGAAAATGAAATCAAAAGAGAGATTTCATAGCAAACGGAACTTTAAACTTTTAACTGTAGATTTAAAAGTAGCATTGTTTACTTAGCTAATTTTTTTACTGACTGATGTGTATCACAAACCCATATCATTTGATAACATTAAAGAAATATGTCACTAGAAACTTTTCAGTTGAAAATTAGTTTTCTCCATAAAATGATATGAACCGGAGATCTGTGGGAAACTAAAATTCACTGAACCATTGATTCAGTATCCCTAAAGATCCTTTACCTTTACAAGTCCACAACTCATCATAAAATGTGAGTTACTGATGTGAAACTTTAGATTTCAACACACAATATTCAAAAGACACTGTGCCAACTGCCTGATATGGATGTTCCACCTTTGACTCCGAATAGAGTTTTCAGCAAGCACAAAACAGCTACCCTGAGTTTATTATTTTCTTAATGATTCTCTAACTGACATCGATAAATAAGTGAAACTAGATTGAAAGTCATTTTATTATTGAAATAGTTTTTGTTAAATAATGCATCTTAAAGACTGAAAGGCAATTCACATTAAATTAGTACGTTGTTTTGACTTTTTATTATTTATAATGGTTGCATAATCTGAAAGTTTCATTATTTTTAAAAATAAGCAACCATACCATAAATTCAAACTCAATATACGCATTATAATGTCTGACTCAGTTAAATCCATTGTCTGTATTAATTTGCATTTATTTCTAAACTTTACATAAATCTAGTGCTTCATATAATGCTACTTTTCTTTGACATATTTACTCATAAATATATCTTTCCAACTATTCAATTATTCTCATAGTATAAGTGACTTTTTTCATACCATTAACTTTTCATAACATAAGAATATGAATTTAACTATCAAGAAACACTGGAGCTACACTACAAAAGGTGTGCATCATAGAAGAGAACATGTTTCACATTTGTTTATATCATAGATTAAGGTAATATAAATTATTTTATGAAAAAAATTAACATTCTTAGACAAAGCTTGATTTTTTTTCATAGCACTTTATAATTTAGCTGTATTTGATAAAATTTAAACCAAGTAGACATTTAAAATTAAAATAAAAAGACAGAAATAATAAAATAATGACAAGATTTAATTATAACAATGATTACAAGTGCACATATTAAGTTCTCAATGTGTTAAGGCCAAATCATTTCACAATAACAATAATAATAATAATAATAATGAAATGATATTCAAAACAGTTTGGCCTCATCTATTTATCATAATAACCGACCGATAAATTGTCTTTTGTTCTATTTACAATACTGTTTGATAGTATTCTTTGCTTAATTATTATTATTTCTTTTTTTCATCGTAATTATTTTAATTTTTATTCATTTCAATCAACTGATTTGATAAATCTGTACATAATGCTAACTAACACCCGCAGGTTTAATTTAAAACAAGCACCATAATGTCGAATATATATAAAAAAATAACAAATGAATAAATAAATTGATAACCTAATAATGACATATGCATATACAGATAGATATGTTTCCTTTTAAGGACAAAACAATTAGTCATTTGAATATTTTATGCCTAGATTTTAAGTAGTATGTTTTACACATAAGTAAATACTAATATGAATATTAGTTAGTCTTAAATTTCAAAAAGTAGGAATAATTAAATAGAGTTTACTAGTAATACTTCTCTTGCTTTCATGTGTATTACTTCTTGAATGATATACAAGTAAACTTCATGAACTGTTTGTTTACTTAATAATAAGTTTCAAGTAAAAGAACTTATTATATATATATTTAAGAATATCGAATTAATACGTTTTATTTTTTGTATCATATGGACTTGAAGCTAAATATTTTAAAAATATTATTCTCTTCTACTATCTAGAATCGTTTAAGAAGTTTAAAAAATATCGAAATTTTTTATAATTAGCTAATCTATTTCATAAGATCATGGAAACGATTAGTGTTGAAACAACCTAGATTTTGCAACTTTCAGAAAATGGTAAGATATATGTTACATACTAGTTATGAAATAATCAAACACTGACAATCATTCTGTGTCTGTTGTAACGTCTGGATAGGTGAAATGGATTCTTTCATTCATGATCAATAACTAAGTAAAAATCATCCAGTTTATGCTACTAGGATAGTTAGGTTGTTTAAATACAGATCATAAAATATTATTGCTCAAAAGCGGTCAACTATATCAGATCCAAATACTTTTGGTGATCCTTTAGGTAATAGATGATATGCTTTCTTTCTCAATGCTAGTGTTTTGAACTTTCGATTGTTTTACTAAGGAAATTTTTTCATACTCATAAGAAACCTCACAGCACAAATGAATATGTGATTCTATGAAATAACAGCTATGATTTACATTATGTGATTGCACCGAAATTCCTAACCTTCATTCAGCCTCCCAATATATATCAGTCATTAATCGATGTCAATAGAAATTATCATCGTTTTTAAGTGTTCTATTTTTTATCTCAGGCATTATACAGAAGCCTCAACATGATTGAAACAAGCGATTAATGTGAAGCTTTTTTTCCTAGATTGAGTGTTTTATTAAGGCTTCTGTATTGATTCCTGTCTGAGTGTGGTATTTGAATACTGTTCTTCACCCAGTTGATATTGGTTGTTTTATTAATTTCTTGTGGTACATTTTACAATTGTGGCACATGGGTTAATCGTTTTGGACTCACACAAACTTTCATCATTCATTTCGGAATGTACAGCCCAGACTTTAGTAGTTTCGTTTTCTTTATCGTAAATGAATAAGGGTTTTATAAACCAACATGTCAGACAAAACACTGTTTGCTATTTAGCTAGAAGTGGAGTAAATAGTATAGTGTAAAAAGTCACTTATATAAAAGATACCTGATAAACTCTATTGGGTGGGACTTCTAAAGGCAGTTCTGTTTTTATCTTAGTAATTTTACTAAGAAAGGTGAAAAGATTATCTGTATAACATAAGTATGTTAAATAATATAAAATAGGTTTCGTCCAAATCATACTTTATTGAAAAGCATACTTTAAAATAAAACAGCTTATCTGAAACATATCCAATCTAAATTATTTTCTAAAAAATTACAGCTTTTTATCTTAAATACCTTTTTATTCATGTAATATACAACTAACATGAATTTATTTGTTTTTAGTTGGCATCCTAAAAGAATCTAGTTTAGTTTAGAAGCACTGAAGTCTCTAAAGCTAATTTAAATGCGGCTACAAAGAATTCTACTAAAAACTTTCACAGTTAACTTGTTTCTAAAATATATATAGTCCAAAAGCCCAGAGGAAAGCCTGTAAAAATTTCTGTTTGTTATTCCGAAATTTTAAAAGTCGGTTAGGGTCTATAAAAGCTGCGTGTGGTTTTGTTTTATCTAGAAACAAATTCTGTTGGTTAAATGTGTTTCTCTCAGTACTACCAGAAGAATAAAAAGATAGGTATAAATAAATGCACATCATCCACTGAAGGCTCACACAAATTAAGCATAACTCGTAATTCTAGTTAAGAAAGGTGGAGAGCAGTCTTCATAGGTAGCGTTGCCTTATTTTATTGAATAAATGAAATACTCAATTTAAGCTGCTACGTCGTCTGTTAATTGTAATGGGAAACGATCTATTATGTTCAAACTATTAAGACTGTAGTGGTTTCATCTATTGAACGATTTGAAATTAATCGGCCATAATCTCTTAAAAGAAGATACAATAAAATGAACCACCATTTTATTTGAATATTTTTATATCAGCCATTGAGTTTGAAGGAAACACTTAGTTCAGAG